ACGCAACAATAACATTTTCTATCCTTGAGTATAACCATTTATCCATCCCTCTCCCCAATCGGATTGACAATTTTCACTCAATTTCTAACAATGCCCACAACAGAATTTCTAATAGAAAGAAATATTTCTCGTAAAGCTGTTCTTACTTATCTATCGCCTGTTAGTGCTACTCACCTTTTTTTTTCTTAAAGAAATGGGAACATGAAAAAATATATAGGCTAATCATTTATACATTTCACAAGAATGTTATCGGTTTATTGCAAGGCTATTATAAATTAATCCCAGTTTCAACGATATCGTGCCTCACGGAGAACCAATGAAGTAGTTGGAAATAAGCTTCGCAAAAATATGTCAAGTAATCCATATTAGTATAAAATTCAGAGACACGTCTACAGCAGGTTTGAGCATTGCATTTTTTATGTATGTGTGTAAGTCTGAACGCTAAAAACCCGGTTTCGATATCCGTAGTGAGTACAGCACAAATAGCCCATTATGTAGCTTTTTACTTAACAACAAATAAACTTCCAATAACAAAGTCTTATTAAACATATAGCATAAAACATTTATTGTTGCTAATAACTATTAAAATTACTTTATGCATTTGTAAGAAAATATCAAAGAGCTGGATCAAGCAAAAAGTTCAGAACCTAAAAAATAGTAATAATAATAATAAAATAGCAATTTAAAATTTAATAATGTATAGCTAGATAATTTTATTTCAACTGTTACGTCCCTGTTCGTTTGTTAATTTCCGGTATAAATTCTTTCCGAGGAACTTCAGCGATACAAGTCCTTTCTTAATTAAAACTAGTTTATTCTTTCTCGATACAACTTTGTAATACACAGAATTTCCATTGTAGCTTAGTGGCAAGTCTGATGACTTATAACGCTAAAAACTGGATTTCAATGGTCACATCACAGATAGCCATTCTGTAGCTTTGTGCTTAGTAATAAACTATTTGGTCCCCCGGTGGGTCAGTGGCAAGTTTACGGACTTATAACACTAAAATCCAAGGTTCGATTCCTTGCAGTGGACAGAGTGCAGATAGCCCATTGTATAGTTTTGCACTAAGAAAACAAGCCCTCTGTTTTTTTTGTGAAAATACTGAATTTAACAAATTGAAAATATTAATAAATTATCATCGAAATGTTAATAATAAATGCCAGATGAGTGGTGCTGACTAGCTAATTTCCCTCTACCCTATCACACTTCAAATTAGGGAAGTTAGTATTGATAGCCCTTGATTAGCTTTTCTCTAAGTTAAATAAAAGCAAACAAATATTCTCAAGGTATCACCTGATCTGCTAGTAGAAAATTTCACTGTCTATTTTTACATAGTGTTTTCTATTATGCAGCATTCTTTTTCACGAGAAAATGCATTTGACACCATATGAGTTTGCTTTGAATTTTGCGCAAAGCTAAGCTACGGCTATCTGCGCTAGCCATCCTTAATTTAGCAGTGTAAGACTAGAGGGAAAGCAGCTAGTCATCACCACCCACCGCCAGCTCTTGTGCTACTCTTTTACCAACGAATAGTGGGATTGACCGTCACATTATATCGCCCCCACGGCTGAAAGGACGAGCGTGTTTGGTGGGACGGGGATTCGAACCCGCGACCCTCAGAGTGCGAGTCGAGCGCTCTAACCACGTATGTCATCAAGTTAAAAAACGTGTTAGAATTTGAGTAGTTGAAATTAATGTCTACAATTTGAAATTTTTTTGGGGGAGTGACACATATTTTAAGTATAATTACATTTAAGATAATTAACATCGAATTGTCTGGGGTACTTCCTATTATTATTTTTATTTTCTCAACTTGGTATCGAACTTAATATCTTCCGCATTACCAGTGGGCACTTTACTAACTGAGCTAAAGAGTTAGCAACCTCCTAGTGAGGAACTTTGGAACTTCTCAAAGTACTTCATGTGTATATTACTAATCTTCAAACCTGACTCTGCTGGAAAAACAAAAGATATAGTAAGCATATCCAGGCACATGAAATACACATATTTTAGGTCATTTATATTTTAAAGTACTATAAAATCTGATACATTTCTGATCCTTAAAAATTATATGTATATATATACGACTCATTTGAATTAAAAATTTATAAAATCTGTTTATTTTCAATTAAAAATATTTACAAAGCAGAGGACTGACGCCTCATACCTAGTTAGGACCATGCATTTAGTTATTCCTTGAGGCACCTTTTCTCTCTCTCTCTCTTTCTGCATCCTAGGTCTTTCGTTCCAAAGACGTTTTTTGTGGTAACGTTATGCTTTGGGTAGTTTTCTACAAATGGGCAGGGCAGGTCCGGCAGACCGGGCAGCAGCTGCACCAACTTTTTGTCACGGTAAGTGCAGGGCTTTTTAAACTTTAACTGCATTTCAAATATTGTTTCTAGGTAAAAAGACAGACTTGTAGTAGTAACTAGTATGTATGATTTAGTATAACAATGCATAATAAATTACATGTGTAATCTTCAAGTGTACATACTTGTGCTTGCTTATAACTATGGTAAGTGCCAGTGAACACCTATATTTGTAAATCATAAAGAAATGCTTGCAAATTTTTTATACTTTCAATAATGTATAGTAAAATTAGCACAAAATTCAATCTCAGAGCACCTATTTTTCGAAATTTTCCTCGGGGAGATATCCCCAGACCCCCACTAGTACTGGCATGCTTTGCGCACTATTCTGAGTTGCCTGACCAATCAAAAAAATGCTTCTTCCACACCTGTATTTAAGGCGTTTATAATTTAGTGTCCCACCGCTCCCCCACTATACAATCCGTGAAACTGCTGCGTTACTAAGATATACTACTCAGAAGTCTATCTATTATATTACCGTCACCCGTTTGTTTAAATGAAGAGACACTTAATGATTATTACAAACCGGGACGCCTCCGGTGGCTCAGCGATAAGTCTGGGGCTTATAACTCTAAAATTAGGGTTTTAATACTCGCGGTTGGCATAGCACAGATAGCGCATTGTGTAGCTTTGCGCTTAGTAAAAAACAAAACCAAATGGGACAATTTGTTTTACAATATATACTGTTGCAAAAAGACTATTTTACGTTTTGTTCTTTGAGTAATCCTAAGTTGGCAAATTCATAAAAACATGACAAACAAGTATATTTTCATTTGTTTGTACTGTGATTTATCTTTTACTTAAAAATAGTTTTTATTTTAAACAAGCTGAAATACGCGTCAGCTGACGGAGAATGTTTAAACTTAATTAAAAACGATGTAAGTTTAACAGCAATCATATATTTCAAAGTAATAAATTGAACATAAACTTTATCTCAAAATTTTAAAATTATAACAAAGCTTCTTCATAAACAACATTTGCAGTTTGCTTTCCATCTACCAACAAATAAAGATTTCGAGGTAATCCTACCCTTGAACACTTCATCTTATTGACCATGAGGAAAGCATGGTTGTTTGATAAACAATTCAGCAACTTTCAAACTTTGACCTTGAATACTTTAGAATATTCAACATTGTCTACGCGTTAACCAGTTTGAGATTAACTCAATAGGCTGGGAATAATTAACCAACAGGCTTTACAAAATAGAAATAGGGTTAAGTTCAATTTTGATCCACTTAGGACATTTCCCATAGTTCATGGTGTTCCTATACAAATTTTGGTAGATTGACCCAATAGGCTCAGACGAGTTAGGGTACAAACAAACACGCATTTCATCATATATATATATATGATAGAGCCATTTCACTCTTTTAAAGATTTCCACTCGGTTAGAAAAAGTATTTTTTATTTGCATTCAATCCTTAAAATAAAAAGTAAAGAAGACAGTCATTTAAGCTAGCCTGAAATGGAGAAAGTGCAAGATACTTGAACAGTGAAATACTTTACGGATGAGTGATTAAATTTGCAAATCGTCTAAAATGATGTCAATCACAGTACTGTCAGTAGCAAATAAAACTTATAGTACATCACATAACATGAAATTTAACTTCGACACCAACATACAAATCGTTAAGGAATTGTACTGCTAAAATTAGAATTATATTAGGAGTAACGTACCAGTTAATTAACGGGATGCAGCAGCAGTAACAATTTCTACGATTTCTGTGTGTAATGGCATCATACGGAAGGAGGGGGTGGGAACGTCTCAAAACCTACTACCTTCGCAGAGATTGGCGGAACAACCGGTTTACCTCGCGGCGAGGGCAACGACTGGGTCAGGCAGGTAAAAGTTGTCTGCTTACTTGTCTTAGGCTTTGCTCTTCCTGTTACAAAAGTGTCGGTAGAGTTTGAACCAGCCGAAATAATGTTTTTGCTTATTCAAAATTTGTAAATTGTTTATTGAAACTTTATGTAATTCTGAAGTGCATGTAGATGTAATGGAGACTCAACAACTAGGTGGGCGCTAGATTTTTAAATAACAGTCACAGGTAAGTCTTTTCGTCCTCTTTTGATTCTTAATGAATCGTACATGTACGTTACGCATGCCAACTCACCACCTCATATCTTGGTAAGATGGCGACTTGATTCTTATGGTTAGAAGCTAAAAAGTTTTTTTTTTCTTTTTGTTAGTTATAACAGGCTTTTTCTTCAGGTTCTTGGGTATTGGCGTTTGAAAATTAGATAAAAAGGTATTTCAATGAAAATTGAAAGGTTTAAAAACCCGTCATAGAAAGATAGAGGCACTGTTGTATGATGATGTTATTACAGTAACAGTATAATTCATTTAAAAGTTAAATGTAATATGATTTTTATACTTCCACTCTTTTCACAGCGTTATATTGGGTAAAGTTTCATTTAAATACCAGTCGTTTAAAGCTAAATATTATTTTGTAAGCTAAGAAGCAATAAAATATGTGATGTTAATCATTTGATATCTGAAAGTTCATACAACTTTACAAGTATTAATTTGTGAAGAACGTCAAAGAAAACAAAATCAACACATATTTTACAAAATTGTCGTCAAAATAAGCAAATAAAACTAATATCAAATATACTTAGCAAATACTTCAATGAGGTCGAGTCCTTGAATATGATTAAATATCGGTAAAAATTGTTGGAAAAGAAATTGATATTGAAGTCTTCCTAAATAGAAATGGCGATTGAAAATTTGTAGTTAGTATTTTAAATCATTTTAGGCCTAAGCTTTCTTTTTCAACACACTACTTTTTGGCAACTTATCGAAAATTTTAAAAACAACAGCCCGCAATGTGTACAATATATTTTAAAAGCTAAATATAAAGAATGAGGTCAACTTTACATCAATAAACAACTATTAGTCCAGAATGTGTATTTCGATTAGAATAAATACTTGAATGTAAGATAGAAACGGGTGATCCAGCTGTCAAAGTGACTAGTCTCATTATCTTCTAAGAAATTGTATTTCTTTTAAACGCTCTCAAATTTCACATTTTTTGTAAGTTTCGAATCTTGGTTTGTATTTTTTTGAATACCAATATTGTAGTGTCTCCAAAAAGAACTTGCATTTTGAAATTTATAAGGGCTAGATCTGCTCTCATCTACCCATTTCTATTTATTTTGCATTGTAGTGTTTTGTATCTTGATAAATATGTGAGGATACCTGTTAGATATAACGACTGTTTCCGTTTAAGTTTAATGTGAGAGTTATAATTTAGATAGTTATTTAGCGCGAGTGTTAAGTTATTTTTAGAAGCGATACTTTATCGTAGGTTTGTTTACGAATCATGCATTGTGTAGCACAATTGTTGTGAATTGGCTATTGTTGAATTATTGCATCATGTTACTAGAACATTCCAAGTTTTTTCTGTTCTTTTGAATATCATTGCATCATAGTATCTTGTGGTGGAACGTTCTAGGTCTCTGTCGGGCTATACCTATGCGTCCAAAATGTAGTTCGAGATATTTATATAGATAGATAGATTTAGACTGCATGATTATGAGTTTAGCCATAATGAGCGTACAGTAACGATTTTTAAAGTGAAATTACCACAGATTGTATTGCAATATCAGAGTAGAGAATAATAATTCATTTTGTCAATTGTGTTCTAAAGTAACTGAACCAGATTGTGTGGGCTTTGACTAAACAGAGACAATTGTATAAAGCTCTGGATACAACTGGGGTAACCAACAGTTATAGTGGTGATTTTATAGTGAAATTATCACGGATTGTATTGTAATAACAGAGTATATAAGAAAAATTCATCTTGCCAAATTGTGTGGACTTTGACAAAAGAGAGACAGTTATTTAAAATCTCTGGATACAATTGTGGTAACCAACATTTGTATACATGTTTGACTTATTTTAGTGTATTATTTTAAAACAAGTGGACTGTGTGCTGTCTGTTTCTTATTGAAAATTATCGCCAGCAAGTCACAGACACCTACTGTGAAGAATGCGGCCCATACATAAAATAACTAACAATACCTATTTTAATTTATTTCACTCTCACACACACACACACGTGAATCTTTAAATTATATTTCAACTTTTCTTTGAATATTAGATTTTTAACAAGTTGTTCATTTTTTTGGTAATAAGTGAAATTTTGTGGAGACTGACTCTAAAGTATTAAAGGCTGTGCTCTAGTATCTTAATATGGTGAGGTTTCTAGCTCGAGAGCAGGACTTTTTCCCTAAAACAACCAAAATGGTATTGACGATGAGGTATCAATTTAAACTCCATCCTCTACTTTATTTAGAACAAAGTGTTTTGATATTACTTGAAATTTTGTAAATGCTTTAACTCAGACTTTGAGAATATTAAAGAAAGTAAAACTTTAATAAGAAAATTTGGTGAGGTGATAGTCATTAATTTATTTGATCTATTGTAATTTTAAATAGGGGTAATTTCTCCTGCTGGACTTAATTTTCATAAAACCCAAAATTAACTCCATATTTCATAAAACATTTTATATGGCTTTAATGTTCAGTGAACAAACACACCTTCACCTCGATCAACAATGATACTGTTACGCCTCTGTGTTCGTTTGTTAATTTTCCGTAAATTTTCTTTCTGAAGAAACTTTAGCGATACAAGTCCTTTCTTAAATAAAATTAGTTTATTCTTTCTTAATACAACTTTGCAATACACTTAATTTCCACAGTCACGCTATAACTTAAACAAACGCTATAATTAACAACGAACGATTCACGTGCTTGACTCAATTGTTGCCGTCACTTCTTGGCGGTCTTATATACAAAAATACCGCACATCTAGTAAACACTCGAGGCTTCACGAACGGACATGAATTTTCTAGAAGCTCATGACGTGTTACTAGAGTCACATGACTTCCGCTGTCGTAACAATACTATCCAACTGCTTTAATAACTGCAGATACTGTGGCCATTACGTTCATTTTAAAATAATGGACAGCTGTTAAAAACTTGGAATACGTCCACTTTGTGAATTTTATTAACAGGAGGTCAAGCAGGGGTACGAGTTCACCCCATAATTAACTATGCATACGGACTCTCTTATTTTGGCGAGTGTAATATGTTTATTTCTATGCATATGGTGTGTGTGAGTGTGTTGATATGGTTTATACAAACATACATACATATATATAATGAGTGTATTTAACATGTCCCCTTCCCCTAGTAGCGGTCAAATTTTAATTACTGTATATGGCAATGCTTATTGGGAAGCCTTGAAAGTACTATTGTTATTTGGGATTTTTGTATTATTTGGTAAAAAATAATGCCAAACCAACGTAACGATAACGAATTTATTTCTTCAATAACATTTGCTTCAGGATATGTTCACTTTGTCCCAAGTTGTGGACCTAACTCCACAGACAACTTTTCAACAAAAACTCTGAAGCTAATATATATACCTAACTTATAAATAAATTTATTTGTAGAATTTCCTCGCTGATCAATCGATAAACAAGCTGACTAATTGACTCGCAGAATTGAATAACTCACTTTTTGGTACTGAACTGATTCACTCATTGATTACTCTTTTAATTCACAGATATTTATATTTTACTCTTATTTCTACACACTACTTGAAATTTCTAGGTCATTACATCATTACCATGATTATTCTCTTTAGCAAACAAACATATGAATTACGTTTTTTTTAAAATGTAACATAAAACAGTACTTTTCTAGCTGTAGTTGTACTTTCTGTTCTCAGGATATTAGCTAGTTACTGCATGGAAATTACAATAGTGCGTTGAAATATAACTTCTACTTTCTAGTTCTAGTTGATTTTGTTTTTCTCAGCCCATTTTGTGTTATTTCTATCTGCTGAGATGTCAATGACATCATTATTATGAAAATAGCACAGACTAAAATATAATAATAAATCAAAACACATCAACTCAAAAATTTTTTTAGTGGAGTCCTGAAAACTACTGAACAAAACTAACTTTTCTATTCGTTGAAAACCACATATTCCATTGCTGTTGGCCTGGCATGGCCAGGTGGTTAGGGCGCTCGACTCGCAATCTGTGGGTCGCGGGTTCGAATCCCCGTCACACCAAACATGCTTGCCCTTTCAGCCGTGGGTGCGTTATAATGTATAACGCTATTTGTTGATAAAAGATTAGCCCAAGAGTTGGCGGTGAGTGGTGATGATTAGCTGCCTTACCCTACTCTTACACTGCTAAAGTATTGACGGCTAGCGCAGATAGCCCTCGTGTAGCTTTGCGCGAAATCCATAAAAAAACAAACAAACAAACCCGCGGCTCCAAAGTGTGGAACTTGTGTGTACTTCTATCACGTATTCAGTAATATCAAAATAAGTATTTCACTTGTCAGTTTAACGCAGATAACTTGTTTTGATTTCGAGCATAAAGAAATACCAATTGTGGCTTTCGAATGATAGTATTCTTTTATCAATGTCAAATTAAATTGCTTAGAAACTTCTTATTTTGTGCTTAAGAGGTTCATCTTGGTACAATCTCATAGTATTATTTATAAACTTTAAAACACCTACCAATAGCAATAAACTCGTGCGGTAGAATAAAGCACTACAACGTAATTTTTGCTGAGTTTTAATAACTGTCAAGTTGATATTATTATAAAACTTAAAATAATATTCTGTAAAATCGGCGTTTTACTTGCTTACCTGCACACTTTTGCATTATGTTTTACTAGCGGTAAACCAATGTTCAATCATTTGACTAAACCAGCTCATTCAGTCTGTTTTCACACAATAGTGTAAAGAAAATAGTTTTCGATTAAACAATAATCTACATTCTGCCGTTATAAGGTAGTATTGGGCTATGGATCCGAATCCACGATTCACATCCTGTAACCGGAAAAGAAAAAAAGAAGCGCTCCGCTCTTTTAGACTGTGGGTGCTTTATAAAGTTGAGGGTCAAATCCACTCTACATTAGAACAACCCAAGAATTGTCTGTGAGTTCTTTTGACTAGCTGCCTTCTATCTAGTCAATAAATTCAAAATTGGAGACGTTTAGCGCCGATAGCTCTTGTTTACGTTTGCGTGAATATCCCAAATAAAGTTAACTTAAATCAAGGAAGAAAAATTGGGAATACTCAATATAATAATGAGGAGAAAAATAAATGTCATACGTTTTTGTTTTATTCTGTCTTTGTATGGTGTAGCATTTATTGATTCCAGTTAATGCAAAATAAAACTCCGGTGCCAAGTATTAAAAGGAAAATACATGTATATTGGAAAGCCCTTCAATACATGAGGTGACACACCAAGCTTGAATGTTTTTTTTTTTAATGGAACGCTGCATGAATACATAAACACACACAAATAGATTATTAGTGTTCAAATGTGATTAAAAGTGAAAATAGGATAAATTATAAGTTGTTGGAAATTAATAAAATTTACAACTGAAAGTTTCAATCCCTAGTGAAGGGCGATTTACTGTGCAAGAACATTCATGAGTATTTGAAACTATCTACGAAAGTGCTGTCAGAACGTAACTCTTGTTCATTTGCTAAAATTCTCTTTTCAACAAATGTACAGGGATTTTACTGTATTCATTGTAACCACATGCAAACAGTTACCATTTGTTAACAACTTGCTGCAAATTTGTGGAATGATTTGAGCCACTTTAATCCGTTTAAAAGTGGTGTGTAATGGGACTGGAGTTAAGTATGTGAGAAACCCAACAAATACACACTGACCAAAAGTACTGCTATTTGTGAGTGGGGAAAAATCACTTTATCTACATACATCTAAACTTTAAATATGATAAATGCATCAAACTTATCAAGTTTTAGGTTCTGGTCATATAAAAACAAGCTTTTGTGTACGAAGTAAAAAAACGTTATTTTAACTGATTATGATGTGCTAATACTGACTATCATCTTTATCTCCGCACATCACACCAAAACTGATAACAACACGGATATCAAGCTTTATATATCGATTGGACATCTTGATCTTCCTATGAACTTCTTTCATAATAAAGAAAGGATTAAGGCTTTCTATGTTTGATCCCGACACCTTAGGGTACATGAAGAAATGTTATGGATGGTAACGTTGTTTTAAAACGTTTATCTGAAATGCAAACCAGTTGCATCTGAGCCTCGATAAATAGGGTTGTGGTTTTGAATCCTATCAAGTCTTAGTTTTCATTTCTACAAAAAAAAATCGTCACAGTCATTTTTTTTGACAATGCTCTCAGCGATTTGTTTTCTCCCCTTTCATAATTATTTAATTTCTTAATTTTTATTATATTTTTAGATATTAAGAACACGTAACTGCATTTCATGAAGTCTTGTTTACCCGACTCAATAAATGTTCAGAATTACAGCACATTGTTTTGAAAATACACATAAGATTTGAAAGTATGAATTGTTGGAAATGGTTCAGAGGAGGGCTAGTAGGATGATACCTAGGGTGGAAAGAGTATTATATGAAGATAGGTTAAGATCTCTGAACTTATTTTCTCTTTAAAAAAAGAAGAGTTGGAGGGGATCTGATTGAGGTGTTTAAGATTCTTAATGGAATTGATAGTATTGATGCATCATCTTTTTTCTTGTTTATTTGTAATAATGGTAAGACTTTGGGACAGAAATATACATTTTGGCAGGGTAGGAGTAAACTTCATAGCTGCTAAGACAGCTTTATTTTTATAACAGGATGGTTAGCCTGTAGAACACGTTGTCTTCGATTGTGGTGGATGAAGTTAATTTAAGTAAGTTTGTAGGAGAAACTTAATAAATATTTAAATAATAAGGACTGGCTTTGAGGTTTTTTTTCTTTTTTAATGGTTTAGTTTTAATTTAATGGATAGGACAGCACAGATGGACCTAAAGGTAGGTCTCTTGCTATCCGTGTTATGTTACTTGAAATATTTCAACACCAGGGTGTTGGTGTTTTCATGTATCGTATTAATAATGCATTTTATACTGAGCTTCTGGAGATGTAATACATATTTTAGGCCTATCCAAAACTAACTAATTAATATAAAATAACAAGCAGTTTTCGCGTCGTAGTCACTGTATTTTGCGAAAGGGCGTGTTTTCGTTGGAAAACACTAAGGAAACGTAGGTGTATCAGCATATAAATTGAAACAAAAGAAGCCTGGTACCACCTGTTGATTTCAGTGACTTTCAAGGTACCCAACTGATAAAAAAAACAAAAAACATTTCAATGTTTAAAAATTGAAATGATAGAAATATATATTTAATTAGCTATACTGATTGCCAGGTTGATTTTTAGTTTCACTCTTAGTACATATCTTATTCTGATCGGAAATTAATATCAATTAACATAGATGAGAAGTTTTACCTCTTAACAATCTCTAAAAAACATATATTTACACTAAAACCATTACTTAAGGCTAGATTTGAGATAAAATTCACTCCTTATATACATTTATTAAATGTTTTAAAAATGTTACAATAATCTCGTTGACTTCTTGAACTTTTTAAATTACAAAGAAACAGTAATAAACGCATATAGGTACAGTGATATCTAGAATAATCATTACTACGTTAATAAAACAACATCCAAATTTGTTTAAATAAACTCCAAACATTATTTCAAAAATAATCCAGATTTAATCCGCTAATCATTTGTTGTTGTTGTTGTTAGAAAAAGGCGAGATTTAATTATGTAAGATGGGCCGGGAGTGGCCAGTGGTTAGCGTGCCAGACTGTGGATCCTATGGTTCATTGTTTCCATCCCGTTACCTGAAAAAATCTCACCCCACACTTTAAGGCCGTGGGTGTGTTATAAGAGTGACGATCAAATCCTACAGTTAGAGTATCCCAAGAGTTGGCGGTGGGTGCTATGGAGTGGCACCTTTCATCTATTATATCAGTTCAACTTTAGCCCTTCTGTAACTTTGCAATAATATTTTGAACAAGCTAACCATAAGTATGGTATTCTTATATGTCTTGACTGATTTATTAAGAGCTAGTAACTGTTGATTTATCAGAACTCTTAAAATACTTGCATAGCTTTAGTTTAAGTAAAAACTGTTTTAACAATTTTTCATAGATGTGTCATAAAGGTAATATAGAAGCATAGGAAAGCGTCATGATGTAACATAAAATAACAAGAAGTATTTGAAATAATGAACTTAACGTCACAGTCGGCAGTAGTTTGCATAGTTCTTAAAGACACACCAGATTAATAAAACTAGGGTTAATCTGAGTTCAATGTAAAAATGGAGTAAATCGCTATTGGCTTAGAAGCAAGGAAATTTGGAATAAGAAGTTTGTTTACTATTTGACTAATTAAATCACACTATGCAATTTCAAGTTATGTTTGAAACATTGCGTGACTTTGCATGAGTATCCGAAAAAACAAACCAGTTATGAAAGACAAGTGGGGCACTCCAGATATGATAGTGTAACACATGACCAGTGGAGAGTTAGCATCTGTAGTGAGTTTATCGAACTATGTGATTTAGCGCTACAAGAAAACGGAACTGGAAGAGATAGTGTTAATTGAAAGGGATTAAAATTAAACTTAAGCTCGTGTATTATTTTGATTATAACCTATAAATGTTATCGGTGTTCATTATCCAGTCATTGTTATGACTAATGATTACAAAAGATTAGAACAGTATCCAGTCGTTCAACTACATGATATTGATTTCAACTTGTATTCTAACACCGTGTTTTTCATTAATTAGGATACCAAAAACTTCACCGAATTCCAGGAATTCTTTTTAAGGAAGCAGGTCGTTGATGTATAGCTTCTTCTAGTGCCATGAAGTCGTACGTGGACTCAATCTTTTCATTTTTCATCCTTTTCATCGTCACGTTACGTAAGTTCCTTCGCAGAAAAAGCTGCCAACTGTCTTAGTATTTTTCTGTAACTCCTGTTAAATTCTTTTAAGTTGTACTTGTAGCGTGTAAAAAAGTAAGCTGTGTTAAATGTTCTTTTTGGAATATATTTGATGCATAATATGTGTGTGTGTGTGTGTGTGTGTATGGTTGTTGCATTGTCACAGCGTTTCTTTAATGCTTTTAAGAGTCTGAATTAACTACAATTTACTGTAAGATAAATTAGAAGCTCAACAGCAATGTTCATTTTATTAACACCGCGGATCAACATTGAGTATATGAATGTGTTATGGTATTTTAATCCATTTTAACAGTTTACCGCCTCGTATGGTCGTAAATTAGAATTACAACTAACCATAAAGCTGGAGTACTACTGTGGTTGATAATTAGAAATCAGTGGGTTCGAATGCTTATTACACGTTTAATCTGCTGAAGTAAAATTGTAAATAACCTTTAAAGGATAAAGAACTGGATTTTTGTTTTTGAATAAGTAATAAAAAAAATATATGATTCTGTAAAGGGATTTGCAAAAAGGAAAATCACGTGAATGGAAACAGATTACCAAACAAAAGTGTAATGTAGTTTTATTCAGTTTAAGCCAACTTCACTTATTAGGAAGATGATTCTAAATATGGATACAAAATTACGAGTCACTGTTGACGACTGCAAAATAAAGCATCCGTAAATGTCATAAACAAACTTCAGAAATAGTATAAGAATACTAGGACAAATCATAAATCTCAAAGAAAATTATATTGAAAAATAAGAACGTTGATACTATGGAAACAGTACTGGATTCTGGAATTTCTCCAAAGTATAAGGAAAAGTGAAGAATTGTTAACCAAGTATAAGAATTTCGGGGTGTTAGCATAAATACTTAAAGATCGTGTTTAACACAGATTAAAGGTATATAAATCTGATAAATAGTTTTGCTTTAATACAAGAGTATAGCAAACACGGGTGTATCTTTAAAATAAAGTTAGAAGATTGAATAAAACTAAAAGTGAAAATGGGTGTGGTAAGTGGTTAAGGGAGTGTAACAAAAGTATTCAAGGAAACAAGTGTTCGGAGTGAGACGAGAATACAAATGAAGCTTTTTTTTTATAAATGGTGTAAAATTCGAAATCACCCCGAGTTGTCCCCAGTAGGTAGGGCTTTCCCATTGTAGGTATTAGATACAATAGACCCTACTGTAGGGGTGAACAAAACTTTTTTGTTTTCTTTGAGAATGAAGAAGTGACAAAATTAATGAAATGTGTGAAAGATAGTATAAAAAAAATATCAAGGAGAAAATAGTATGAAATACCCTAGCAGTTCTGTAGAATTTAAAAATAAATAAGATAAAAGTTGATATGGAAAATCTAGCATAGTATCTAGGAGATACAAGGGAAAAATTAAGCTTTTAACATCCATGCCTTTTTATTTGCCAGTCTTGTGTGTTCTTAAGAGTTGTCAAAACTTGTGTATTCCATAAAAAAAATTAATAATATTAATGACAATGAGAAATTGATACCAGTCAGAATTTTACAGCAGTAAATGACAGAACAGGTTGTGTTTAAACTTTATGAATAGTAAATATATATAATATTCTTTAGGTTGTATGTCAATTTACAAACATTTGACTTAATCAAAGGGGAAGAATATGATGAGGTTGCATTCTGCTAATCAAGTTAAATTTCATCCATATAATAACTGATCAAGAAAGAAGGTAAATTAATAGTTAGATTAAGTCATATTGAAATCTTCCTGCTATTTCAGAGGACAGTTTTGCACAGTTCAATCATGCCCCAGAATTTCTCCCAGGAGGAGATATGTCCAAGTTATCCTTACGGGAGGATACCTCTGTAGGTAAGTGACAAAGGATCAGTGATCCAGTAATCAATTAGTGACCTTATTTAATAGCAGTAGTTATGCCTTGTCATAGCTTGTCTGATTATCTGCTAATAGTTTTCAGCAATGTATTACACTTGGAAACAAGAAACTGACAACATATTTAATCTTGTAATATCATTCACATTATTTTTGCTTATTTTTGTTTTGTACATATGAAAATGCATATCTAATGTAGGAGCGAAAATCACAATCAGTAGTAAAGTGAAAATCTAGAATCAGAATTAAAAACATGTGGTTGAAAATTTTATTGTGGCAAGAGTTTATTACAGCTAAATGTGTTCTGTATCTCTAAAACGAGATCCTAATCTCTCTTATACCAATACTGTGTCAGTACGTGAAAGTTTGTTGTATTTTGGAAGACACTGCCTAATTTTTAGATGCTAAATATGCTATAAAAGTAAATTGCAGAAGTGTAGGCTAAAAAGAAGTTTCCACACTTTTGTGTTTAAATTAGATTATATTGATTTTGTGTGAAAATTATCACACTACAGCTGTTCGTAATTGTGAAAAAAAGTTTTTTTTTCGTGATATGAAAGGTGTGAAAAACAAGTACCTGGCTACTTGATTCTTATGATAAACTTGTTGTCTATCAGATGTCTTTAATATACATATATTGCCAAAAGAGTACTTGGAGTATTAGTGATACTTTATGTAGGAGTGTTTATGTTGATGTTGTACTAAACAAAAGTGAGACTAAAGTGCATTTTTAATACGTGATTGTTTTGTACGTTTGTTTCATTAGGTTCATCTATTTATACTCTTCGAGGTCGTGATCCAGAGAATACACAAGTATATTATTATATTAGTGGAGATTCTTTTAGTGTAGACAAAATTACTGGAATAGTGAGGCTTGTACGTCCGCTTGATAGAGAAAAAGAAAACACAGTTGATGTCATTATCAGTTTAACAGATGAGAAGGTTCAAGGGCAGGACCCAAATACAGTAAGATGCTATTTCTGTTTTGTTTTCAAATTAACCTACTCAGTGTATATAATGTCTTTCTAATTTCTTGTATCATTAAATCATTTCTTTTCTTCAGTTTAGTATTAACCCAAAAATAATTATCTTTTCTAAATAGTTCTAATTTATATTTTTAAAAACTTGTAAAAAAAAATTAAATTATGGATGAACTTTCTAATTATGTAATAAACTTAGTAATGACCTAAACGTTGTGAAAGTGCCATTTAAAAGTATTAGATATAAGGTATAAGGTAGATAACAACAAGTATTTAACTCTAAGCTGTTTACAGTGTGACTGATGTCTATTTGTTCTTACTATCTTGTTTTACGCATTTTCCTTTCATTGGTTTAATTTAAATTGATTTATTGTAAGACAAGTTTGTTTTGTTTAAATTTTATTCCCTCTTTGTAGAAGTTTATTATTATTGAAGGGTAACAATTGTTGTACTTAAATTATTTTTGATTTTGTAGTCAAAATTTCTTAAGTTATGGAGGCGTAGCCACGTAGCTAAAATTAGTTGACTTTATTGATCAATTTTGTAAACATGATATGTAAAATCTATGAGGTTTTATTTAACTTGTAAGTTTTAAAACTTTCAACTGTAGCTGTACATTTTTATCTTTACTACTGCAGATATCCATAAAACGTGAAATCACAATTCTTGACCAGAATGACAATGCTCCAGTGTTTAGAAATGTTCCCTATGCTTTTTTTGTTGATGAGGTAAATATTCTTGTTAATACTTTTGGATCTAAAATTAAGAAAATCACCTATTACTTTTAATGGTGGTAGGTGTGAAACATAAGTATAAATTGTGTTCAGAACATTATAATGTTACAATCAAGTTGTTTGTGTTTGCTTTAAATATTTTAAAGTTGTGATAAGTTAGTTAACCTTTATAGTTTACTTTATAGGTAAAAGTAGCCGTAATATTATGAACCTACATTAGCAGGATGAAGTCTGTGTACTATGAATATACATGTAGTTTATTTAAATTATTATTTTTTATTACATTTCAACAGATAATCTTAACATCTAATATATGATTGTGAAACTTAATGATTATATACTTCTTTTGCATTTTATGTACTAATAAAAAAGATAACCATTGTTGTAACACACAATTCCAACCTTTGTGGTATCTGAAATTTTGATTTGAGAATTTCATAAATATTATATTTTTACAATTTAAATGGAAGCTTAAGCAAGCTGATACTTACACCTGAATATAAAGTTTGAAAAAAGTGATATATTGGAAATAAGATAGATTTAACGTATAGGTTTTGGCTCATCTTTACACTTTTAAAACAACAATAAAATTTGGGACGCAAATTGGAGATAGACTAACAATGCAGTGCATAAAACATCACAATAAATGAATAAAAGAAAAGTGCTTATAAGTTTACAACAATTGAACAAAAATTTTAATGATTTATTTTTGATAAAACAGACAGCATGGTTCAATGAATTCATGCTATGGACACGTAGATGAATGGTTGCAAGTTTTAGAGTGGCACATGTCGTGCTGTTGTGTCATATATGTGTTGTGTTCTCTACCCTATATCTTCCAGTATACCCAACTGTATCATGTGTACCTAGCTGTTTGCTGGAGATTAACCTGCAACGGACTGGCATTCCACTCAAGGGGAATGAGTCACCATTCTCATCGGCGTGTGCCATTAAAACCAACCTTGTGTGTCTTGTAAAGGCACAGTTAGGATTTAACTTTAAACTTTATGATTGACAAAATGTTGTTCTCATTAGCGAGTTCTAAATCCAGCTAGGTTAAAAGCTTGAAAAACTAAAACAAAACGTAGTTATATGATGATTTCGTATTTTATGTATAGCATTTCAAATATTAAATGTATGTTCTTTTAACTTGTATTTAATGCAAAAATGCTAATTATAATTACACAGGCCTGCGATGGTTTTATTGTCCTGAAATTTTTACATGTTCTACAGTAATTCCTTTATGCTGAATCTGAAAATGATATCCATTTTTCTCCATGACTTACAGATTTTTCACAAAACATCATAATGCAATACATAAAAGAAAGACCACAACACTCAGTTTTGATTTCACAAAAAAAATCAGGATGAATGAGGATGCATATTCATTTGACATCAATGTTCTTACCTTTTCTTCAGTTTGTTTGTATTTTTGTTAACAAACATAATAATAAAAAATTTCATTGTGGTAAGAGAAATAATTGATTGATCTAAGTAAGTTTTTTTCATTCTGATTTGTAAAAAAAATCCTTATTTTAGAAATATGCATAGCTGAATTACAGAAAATCCATTACTAAAACCAAAACAACTTTTCTGAAGTTTAAATTCGCAGACCTCTGTTATCAAAGAAAAAAAATAGTTTGATCACAAGTTGGTCAAATATCCCATTAGAAAGTACTTAGTACCTCTATCGTCTGTTTCTTTGATATGAAGTTATCTAACTCTCTTTATATTTTTTATTGTTGTATATCAGACAGTGCCTGTGGGAACAACAGTGTATAAGGGTATTTTGGTCACAGATGCAGACTTAGGACTAAATGCTGATGTGAGAATTACATGTATGGAGGACATTGTATGTATTATAACTTTATTTTTCAAGTTCTAGGTTATTTGTATTGTATAATCACCAAACATGTAACTCTCTCCTTACAAAATTGTTTCCTTTCCAAATTAATTTGTATTTTTCTAATGTAAAAACATTGGTATTACAAAAATCCTACACATAACTCTTTCTTTACTATGCTGTTTCTTGTCCAAATGAATGTAAATTGTTTTCTGCATGGTTGTGTCTAGTATAGATAACATTGTCTTTTTGTAAATGGATCATTTTTTAACCAATTTAAGTTTCAGGTTCTTCATTATTGACTTTAATCATAGCATTTAGCTATATCATAGACTACCTTACAATGATATATTCATACTATTGTAAGGTACAAAAAAATGACTGTTGGGTGAAGTGTATTTTGTATGTAACATTAGGGAAGTCATTCATTAAAATGCAGCATCTTTTTGGTTTGGATTGACATTAAGTATTAAACTATGTTCCAGTTGAACCTTTAGTATATTTTTGATTTGAATGATATAGAAAAACTTAATCCTGCAACATCAAGGTATCTTTATTGTATCTGAAGTCATATGAAATCATTATATTTTTATATATTTGGTAAAGGTATTTTAAAGTAATCTCATAGTGTGAATCTTTAGTCTTGAAATTAATTTAATACTAGGTATAATGATATGAATTCAACTTTGTTTAACTTATCTTCCCTTAAAAACTTCAAAAGTACTGTTAGAATTTATTTAAATAAAGTCCTGTTAGTAAATTGCTTTAGCAAAATGTTAAAAAAATATGTATTCTTATTTTGTTAATATTTCTCGGACACAGCCTGTTTCACTAATCTTCTGTTTTGTTAAGCAGATTGTTGAAATGGTGTCCAAAGGAACAGTTTAGGCTTTTAGTTAAGCTTTTATTAGCATAACTTGAGTGCCCTTATTTATTTTTTCTTTAACATTTAAGTACTAATGTATATTATTTTGTATTGACTTTAGACTCCACTTTCATGCATGAAATTTGAAGTCAAAAGTCTTGGTATAGGAGATGGAAAATATAGAGGAGAAATCATCTTGAAAGAAAAACTAGACTATGAAGAACGATCTACATACACATTAGCTCTAAAAGCTGAGGTAAATGAAATGTATTTAAAGATGCCAGATCATAAGAAGATTAGCAAAGAATAAAAAGTCTAACTAACTTATTTTATGTTTTTTTTTAATGAAAATGTAATCACTTCTTTTTAGTTTGTAAAAAATTATCACAAAAACACATAACAAAAAATATCACTCTGTGGAACTTCCAGAATGTGTACCATGTAAACATAAAAGAACTATACTTATCTAGCAATAAATCTCATCAAGGTGGGATACATTATTACAAAAACAATTTTCAGGGTATATACTTTTCATTCATATTTAGATGTTAATTTCAGTTTATTGTTAAAATAACAATTGTTTATACAATAGATATTTATGAATATGAAAGACAGTAGATTATATTTTTGAATAAATGTTTGTGTGTCTGTGTGTGAAAACTGTTATGTATAATTCATTTCAAATATTTTCTGCAGGATTTATCAGTATCAGGGAGGCTTAATTCAACAGTGAATGCTGTTGTTGAAGTCCAGGATATCCAAGATCAACCACCAGAGTTTCAGAATGCTCCATATTCAGCAACAGTTTTAGAAAATAGTCCTCCAGTAAGTAAATATGTTTCTTATTTATTCCAAGATTTGTACCACTAATGAATAGATTGATTGTAATATTTATTAAATTTTTATCATCTTTAAAAATACTTAAATGATAATATGAAAATTGTCTGATGTTGAGTTGATTTTACTATAAGTATTGTATCAGAGTTCAAGAAGCTTATTTTAAAAATGGTTCTAAGAAAGAAAAGTGATGTTAGTCACACAAAACTAGTACTGTAACAGATAGCTTATATAGTCATTAAGTAATAATAAATCTAAACATCATACATATAGATATTAAATTTAATTAACTACTAGTGAATTTAAAATACTTAGTTATTTATATTTTAATATTTTTTTATAATGTTATCTTTTTTAAGTAATGCGTTTTTATTAATATTAAAATAGCAGTTTACAAGTAAGTTACCATATGAGTAGTAACTAAGTATTCTATATCTTTTTAACTCTTAGGGCACATCTATTTTGACAATCACAGCAAAAGATGGAGATACAGGGAAACCTCGATCCTTAACTTTATCAATTGTTGGTGGTAAGTTGTTTTTGTCAAAATTGTTTTATTTAGAAACAATAAGTTGAACAGATGATGGTAGAATTTCAAACCTTAACAATTGGTAAAACACCCAACAACTTGTAACAGAAAATGCATCACAAACAAAGTGAACATTTATGAAAGAACAGGATATTGGGAAATCTTTTGAAATTACTGCTTGTTTTGAAGAGAATGTAACCATTAACATTTGAGATGTCAACTTCCTAAAGTACCTGTCACACCTAGTGGGGTCCACATATTTAATCATACTGAGTAATCTTATGTTTTGCCTGTCATAAGACTTAGTGTAAAAAAAACATAGTGTAAAAACTGGGTGAAATCTCTGATCGTGTGTGTAAAATATATAAAAAAGACCCATCAGTTATTAGTTTAATAAATTACAATATTCATGGTATTTTTTGTGTGTTTTAATTTTTTATGTGACCCATATATTATTGGGGATCCTTTAACTAACAAAATAATGGACCCACAAAACATTTGGTGTACAACTAGTTTTGAAAAATATGTTTTAACAATCCATTTGCATCTGGAATTCTAGGGTTCACTTATTTCAGTTCCTCAGGTGTCTTAGTGGTACAAAGAATTCTTATAACACTTTTGTAAATGATATGCTGTTATACATAATGTTATCAAAAGTTCCAACTGTATACTGAAATATACAAAAAAAGAAAAAAAGTAAAAGCTCTTGTAAAAAAAAAAAATTCAAATGCCTTTGGTGTAAACACTGCAGCCAGACTATACAGGGTGTGACAAAAGTAATGGCTTGTAAGTGTTTTAACTTTGGAAGCCTGAAGTGAGCTGTCTGTGATACAAGAGTGGACTTTTACCCATGTCAGACAGTGCCTTTTTTATAACTTTTGATCTAATCAATGTTAATATAATGTATATTTTCACCCTTGTCATTACATTTGTTATGCCTTGAATGTTAAATAAAGCTGACATAACAATTCACTTAGACCTAGAAATACAATAATATGGGCATAATTTGATATTACCAAACTAAGGAAAATTTGACAAAGTATTACAACACTATCTTTAATATGCTATGTGAATTGACTGCTGGAAGAATTTTAATATGAAATGAGAATCTCCCAGTTGGCATTAAGAGATGTGTTGAGACTATGTGAGGAAGCAACAAGAATAACAGATTTTTGGGTTTTTGTATATTACTTAAATTAAGAGGAATGAAACAATTTTGGAGAGTAATTTTTATGTATAAACTAAAATTCTATTAATATTTGGTATAGAAATAACATTTTCCAAAAAAAGAGTTTGATAAATGGCCAAGCCTCTATAATGATATAAAATATACTATAAAAGAAGCCATAAGGATCTCTGTAAGTTATATTTTAAGTACAGTTTACCCACAACAGTTTATTCATGCAAGCTAAAGCTGCCTACAATAACAGCTTGACTACATCCACAAGTTGGAGAAAATGTGTGTATCTGTCATTCAGAACTTGCTTGGATTAATATTTGTAATTATCTGCTAGCAATAGTTGTAAAAGTATTGAATTATGCAACTTAACAATTTGCAATCTCGTATTCAAATGATCAAAGCATTAAATTATGCAGCTTAACAATTATTAATCTCTTATTCAGGTTCCTCTGATCAAAGCATTAAATTATACAGCTTAAAAATTATTAATCTCCTATTCAGATTCAAATGATCAAAGCATTAAATTATGTAGCTTAAAAATTATTAATCTCCTATTCAGGTTCCTATGATCAAAGCATTAAATTATGCAGCTTAAAAATTATTAATCTCCTATTGAGGTTCCTATGATCAAAGCATTAGTTTATGCAGCTTAAAAAATATTAATCTCCTATTCAGGTACCTAAGATCAAAACATTGAATTTTGAGTTGCTAAATTTAAAATACAATAATATCAAATCTAGTTTACCAAAACCTTCACAGGGAGTTTAAGAAAAATAAAAAAGCTTATTAAACTTTTCTTTTTTCAATATTAAAGCTAAACGTTCAGAAACTCCTATTAACAACCATGAAAAATCAAAGAATAACCACAAAATTTTAAGGAAATGCAATCAGTAACTCCTAGAAGTTAATTCAAAATAGCAAGAAGTTAACAAATAACAAATTGAGTTTGTGATTCCATTTGTATCTGGAAATTGTATAATATATGAAAAACCAATAAAATTGGACACTTGTATCAGAAAATAAAAATTAATTAACAGAATGAAAAGATTTTATGATTGAGTTTGGTTTCTCAGCCAACCTAAGATGATTTTTTATATAATAAGATAAATATACAAGAAGCATCTTGTCTCAGCCTTGCATTTACAATTCTAGATTGGAGGTATCTAAAGAATGCAAAGTGCTGGGTAGTCCGTTTTTTTTCAAGCCTAGAACATTCTTGATTCTAAATGCAAATGAAGCTTAATCTATATCAAACTCTTTTGTTAATCAGTAAGCAGTCTTGGTTTTTCTGACAGAAATATCAGATTATTTTTGAAATAAAGTAAGTGTTATATGATCTATCACACATGTGTAAAATCTTCAGTATTTGTTTATATTTTTCTTAACATTTATGATAATGGTTGGATAAGTTTAGCATTTCTATTAGGAATGAGATGCTTTACAGCATATTTTTCTTCTTTATGGTGAAATGATAATTACTTAGTACACACATACTACTAATTGTTGATATTATGAAAAATGAAAAATTTACTCAGTTCTTCTTTTTACAAATCTTTGCTTGATGGATAAATAGTTTGAAGAATTTACTTTTCATTTTTACCTGAGTTTGGCTTCACCTCTGGTTTAATAACACGTTAGGGTTAATCTAGTGTGGAGTGAGATGTATTATAATTAGGTACAACTTTATAAACTATAACATGAAGTACTTGGTTGGTCATGGAATGAGTGAGTTTTGTTCCCTAATTTCTGTTATTGCATGTATATTTCGTTTTAAAATGGTAGTTACATTGTATTTTATGTATATTTCTAAAAAGATGAAAAAGGATACTTTCAGTTAAAGAAGGTGAAGGACAAGAATAGAGCGCTTTTTTCTGCACAGCTACAGACATCAAATAACCCTATTGATAGAGAAAATCCAGATATTTTAAATAATGGAGGACTTTATGTATTTGCAGTTAAGGTAAGTACAAATAAAGCTTTGCTTAGTCAGAAATATCAATAAATTATTATAAATTATTGAGAATATATCTTTACTTTGATTGAACATGCTGTTTTGTAACAGCATTACTTTTTCTCATCTAGCACCCGCATAGTGCTACATAGTAGTTTTACACAAAATTACATTCACCTGGTTTTGTGATTGTACAAAAATAATGCTTGATAATTAAATAAAAGTGCAATAGTTTTAATTTTTCATTAATATATTTGTTTCTTTAAGTTATTAACTCTTTCAGCATGGGCTAGGTCCCTGGGACTGACCTCCTAACTATTTTGTGCTTCTTATAGTTTTCATGCTATAACTTTTAAATTAGTATGCAAATGTTAACGAAATTTGACAGATTATCAGTAAACATTACAATGCTTTTATACACAAAATATCAAGTTTTTTTATTAAGTCTTAAGATTTGTAAAGCAATGTTTTTCTCATGCTTTTTTTTTCTTTTCCCATGTTCCCTATCTATCATGCAAAGTAATATTCATTTCAAGATTAAAAGTACTTTTAAACATCAGTAACTTTTTAAATTTCACATGCAAAATCTTTATAATATTGATATACTTATCAAATATTTCTTAAGAAAATTTTTTCTTTTATCTATTATTTTCAGTAATTAATCTCTGTATGTGTTTGGTAGATTTGACTGATCTCATAACCACCATAAAAATAAGGAAATAAATATAAATTATGCATCTTTCATTCTAGATTGAACACAAATTATAACATGAAAATATAAATGTTCAGACTAAGTCTCATAACATTATATGTATATATATATTTATTATTTTTATTATATTGACCTTTCAGCTGTGCATGGCTAATAATACAGAAGTTACAATGATGTGGCTCACTTGCACTTGTGATACCGTATCAAATAACATAAAACTGACCTTTGATCTGTACGAAGTAACTTGTCTTGGCTGTGTATTTTGTAAAATACGGTCATGTTTCAATTACTGTACATTATATATGTATATAAATTATTGCTATTTTGAAATAGGTCTTAAACTTATTTTTCTTAAAACATAGGACAGTAAATAAAGAAGTAAAGCAAACAATTATCTCTTCTAGTTACGACCTCTGTACTCAGTTGCTGCTTGACGTAGGTTGCTAAGCCTTTAAAAATTTTGCACATGGAGGATATGAAACAAAATAATTTTTTTAGATTATATATATGCATTTGAATAACTAAAAAATCATAAATTACTACATCAGTACCATAGAATTCCACTATAATTCATCAAGCTTAGTAACTAAGATGTATTTTAGTCTAAAAAAATATTAAATTTCAAGCAGACTAAAGACACACTCTACCTACGTTGAAATATTGGTTCAAAAGAAAGAAATGGCGTCAAGCCCATTAAAGTGGCTGAGAAAGCCACTAGAGGGACATTCTGAACTTCCAGTTGGTTATTCATGTCATATATAGAAGTAAGTGTATATAAGGGAGCATTTCCAAAAATGGAAAGTGGTGGGCAGGGTGCCACTGTGTTTGATTTATTACATGAGCAATATCTTAGCAAATAGAAAAGATAAGACATTCTTATTTCATATTCTAGCTTGGTATGATTGGTAATTTGAATTTCTAATTTGTACAAAACTATAGACTTAGTAGTTTGACTTCACAAACGTCTAATTTGAATTAGTGCTGCATTCAACATACCATGTGACACACAAAAATCGATGTTTATCTCTGTTTTTTTTAATATTTCCTTTTAAATTAAGAAAGAGAGTAATGTGTAGTTCTAAAATTTTAATTTTAATCTACAGTGTGATACCAAAATTATTGAAATAAATTCATCAAATAGTAGTTCAATAAAAATTTTAGTGCGAGTCAACAAACGAGATGACATGGCCTTTCACCCATCTCGAAAGGATTAATTTACTTTCTATGTGATAAATTCAAAAGACTGAAGACCAACTGTACACTAAACATTGCAAGGATATCATCATTGCATTTACTTTTCAGTTTACAAACACTATACAATCATGTAGACTCTTAATCAAGGTATAGCAGAATTTTTCAAATGAAGTTGGATGTGTGATTTTGTGATTTGAATGAGTGATTTTCTTTCACTTGTATTAATTGTGAAAAGTACTGGGGTCTCTCTATTCTATCATTACTAGTTAACTTTTAATAAATTGCACTCAGCTAAGTTTTCTTGGATGTCACTACCTATATAATCAACTTTATCTATTTGTTGTTTGGAATGTTCCTTACAATAATATTAAAATTGTCAAATTAACATTAAAGGCCCTAATGATTATAAGCATAGTCTTAAATTATGAATTTTTCAAACATTCATGAATAAAAGCTTTATTTGTAATATAATTTAATTATGATGTGATTATTTTATTATAAGTCAAAATTCACAAACATAGACCAAAAATGTTACAACATTAGGTTTGAGGAAAAATAAATTTCTTTGATTAACTTTCTTTTGCTACACATAATTAATTACAGAAAAAAAGCCAGAGAAAATGATCAACTTAAAATTATAATTCCAAATCAAAATTATGATGCTTATTGTGTTTATTCTTTTAAGTCTGCCTGCTTCCACATTGGACTTTTATTTTTTTAAATGAAGTTATCAGAAAATGTAAATTGTTTGGATTAAAGCTACAGTGATTTGGAACATTTGGAAGGTGTAAGACCTACTTTTTTTTCTCCTTATCTCTTTGTCTCCGAGCAGATGATATATCATAATGCGTATTTTTCTACTTGGACGTGCTGCAGATATAATGGCTTGTAGGTCTTGTTACGTTTCACTATCAGTTCCACATTTTGAATGCCATGTATATTCACTATAAAACTAGAACTACTCTGTTAAGGAATTATCTTCAATCTGAGCACCAATTTGATAAAAGAAAGACGTGTTTTCAGTGATTTACCCAAGTGTTTTGAACCCATATTTTGAAATAAAGAAAATTACCATGCCCACTTATGGTAGGCCTTGTCACTTTACTTCTGAGCAAACTAGGAAGTTATTTGAGGAACTTCTGAGCCAGGAAGATGACTATTCCCAGTGATCTTGATGATGATTTTGAAGTGAGAAATTTGACATGGATAGATCAAGTGAAAGTGAGAGAGAGAGGAGAGTCTTGTAGGTGGCCCTTCAGGTGCGAGTACAGGTAAAAGCAAGGAAAAGACCAGTGGTGCTACTATGTGGAAGAGAAAAGTATGATCTGGATCTAGACCTAACAAGAGACAGAGGACTGTTGGAGCAGAAGGAGATTGTGGGAATGGTGAAGATAAAGTAGCATGGAGAGCAGCTGAAGAAGGAGAGACTAACATGAACTTTTCATTCCGTGATCCACAACAAAACGTGAAGCTGGATTTAGAGGAAAGCCATTCACCACTGGATATCCTCAAAGCTTTTCTTGACGAAGAAATTGTGGCCACTTTCTTGCAGTCATTTTTGCTCTGTCCAAAACCTGTATTTGCTGTGGAGATAGAGTTAAATATCAACTTGTGGAAACATCAAATTGATTTGAAAATTCCAGGTTAACAAAATCTTAATGTGAACCTGTTGTTTAGTTTATCATGAGAGTAAATAATTGAAATGCAATAAATTCTCTACTTGAGCAACTGTTGACTTTTTTCTTTAATTGTTCAGTTGTAATTTGAAATTGTTATTATTAGTTATTACACTGTAAGGTTATTTTAAATTACAACTGTAATTAGTTAATTTAGTTATATTTTTTGAAGATCAATGTTGATTCTTTTGAAAAACATAGTATTTGAATCAGGGTTTATTCATCTCCAGTTATACTCCACATTTCTTTAATAGGCAACTGAAGTTGTAGTTGATGGACCTGCAGGTGATTCTGTAATGACCAATGTGACAGTGGTCGTTAATGATTTAAATGATCAAACTCCCGTGTTTAATGTTAAGGATGTAAATATAACAATTTCTGAAGATATAAGCAACAATACTCCTTTAGCTGGGCTGAATATGGTGGTTACTGACAATGATGTGGTAAGCATTCTATTTTTTGTTTTAGTATAATTTATGTTATATGTAAAAGATTCCTTTAATAGATAAAAAAAAAACTTTGTTCAATCACATTTTAACATGTTTCTGCTTTATTTTTGTTCCTGTGGCACACAGTTTTTGTCAAGCATATTTATTAGTCAATTTCACTTTTTCATATTATGCAGAAACCCAGTTCATGCACTTGAAAGCTTTAGCAAGTACTTTTTCTTTAGAAGCATAAACATTAATAAGTTTATAATAGTTAAGAATAATGTCACATTCAATTTACAAAATTGAGAATGAAGTTTTTTCTGTTTTCACCTATTGAGTTTGTACAAATAATAAGATATACTGTTATGATGTAAAAGAAGATAAAATGCATGACTGTTTTATTAACTCTGTGAAAGAGAAAAGTAACCTAAAAACAATCATGTGTTGATAAGCTGTGTGGCAGCATGAAAACAACTTATGTTTTTTGGCAAAATGAAAAGGCTTTGGTAACCTGATCAGTTATACTTTTCCATATTTAAAATTATTGATTTTAAAGCTTTTTATTCAAAAACCTCTCAAGGTTCAGTGCATTTAGAAGTTATTATTTCATTGTGGCTTTATTGTAAACCGTCACAAATATGGATAACAAACACATGACACTCAATAGGTTTTGACACTGTCATCAGCTGATGCTATGTTTGATCAATAGATGATAATGCATTATAGTTGTTTATATTACTTCTAAAGAAAAGAAAAAAAATGCTTATTCTAACAGTGCCAAAAAAAGTTAGTGAAATTGAAAGCAAGCAATGCTTGTTTAAACTTGTATAAACAAATTAGGTATTACTTTGTGAAAATGATACTCAACTCTGGATGGAATGATGAAAATTTGTTTCGGATTGATGCATCATGATTTAATTTAATTTAAAGTTCCACTAAATAGTCTAAAAGTAATATTTTTTAATAATCTAGGCTAATATCCCATTTTAGTTATCCTTTGGAGCTTTAATGTATCTCTAGGTCTAAAATAAAAAATGAATGCAAAAAACACATACAAATTTTATTGCAAAGCTTAAACTTAAGAGACTCATTCTTATTACTTCAAGTCACCTGCATAAATATTTTTTTGACTTATAACACTGAATCCAGTTGAATTTATTATTATTTTATTAAGAAGATGGCAAAGTCCTCTAACCATGAAAAAAAAAATAACTATTCTGAACAAAATCACAAGAAAAAAACAATTTCTGTATAGTATCAAAATGTGGTATTGGTTTTGTATATAGAGTGAGGTTATAAAAACAAACTGGGCATCAATTAATATTGGTTTTCATGGTAAAAGACACTGCATTTACTGGTACATGTTCTAGAACATACATTTTGTAGCTTCTTTATCTTCAATGTGAATGCAGTAAATCACTTATAATTTACACACACACACACACAGATATATATATATATAAAACATAGTATTAATTTTTATCAATTATTATTTTTTAACTAATAGATTAGCTGTGGTTTATTCCCATGCTGAATTTGCTCCTATTGGTTTAGTGGTAACCTTAAGGGCTTACAAAGCTAAAAGTTAGGGTGATATCAGTGACACCACAGTGCAAATAGCCCATTGTTTAGCTTTGTGCTTAACCCTAGAAGGCCAGCATTAAATTTTCAATCATTAGTACCAGGTGGTATGGGGGGGTCATAGTGACCCCACCTTGGCATTCTAGTGTTAAAGAAACACATTTGATGTTTTTTTACCTTCTTTTGCTTACTGAGAAAATTTCTTAGCCAAGCAGACATTTTTAGTCACAACTGAATCAATATTTCATTTCCCGAAAGAAAAGAAATTATACTGTGAAGTTCTTTTGAAACATTGTTTCCATATAATTATAAACAACTAAAAATGAGTTTTGCAATCAACAGTCACAAGTTCTTAATGAAATAAAAATTTTTCTTGGTTGAAATTTATTTTACAAGTTCTTTTTTCTAAAAGCTTTGAATTCAGTTTAAAAGTTCAAACCACTTTCATAGTTTTTAATTCCCTCCTTCATTTATGTTTTATATTATTATTCATGTTTGAGTAGTGACTGTAAACTTCTTTGTTTAATTTTTGTACATACAATTAAAACACATTTATAGATATTTTTGTTAATTTTTCCTTTAAATTATAATTCCTTGTTTTTACTCATCTCTTAAAGTATAACATTATCAAAACTCAAGTAAAACTTATTTTTCATAAGTTACTTGATAGTTTATCTTGAACTGTAGAAATGTTTAAGTTTAGAGTTGAAATAATATTAGTTTTTTAAAGGAAAATTAACATAATTCTAAATCATAGTGAAAGTTTTATATTATAAATTGGAGAATAATCTTGTAGTTTTTTTAAATGAATTTCACCTTTTTTTGCACATTATAGGGAGACAATGCCAAGTTTTCACTGCAGCTAAAAGATGTTCAGAACTCTGAAGGTGTTTTTTCTGTTTTCCCCACTGTTGCTGTTGGTCGAACACCAGTAATCATCAGGATTGCTGACTCTTCAAAACTTGACTATGAACAACCAGATCGACGCATTTTTATTTTTAATGTAAGTTGTAAACATATCAAAGTTTTGTAATATAAAATAAGAACCATTATTTATGCCATTAATACTTGATTTTTTAAAAATGTTTGTAAAAATTTGTTTAAAAAAAGCAATCATTGGTGGGAAATTATTGTATTTGTATTTTACCAAAGACCACTTCAATTTTTTCTATATTGTTTAACTCTTTCATAAACTTAACCATCCTTATAAGATGTATATGTTTTAGGGCTTGAAGTATGCTTCTAGATGTGAATTTCCAAGAAGCATTACGTTTTTCATTTGATATTTTTCAATGTACTATAAAATCTTAGATCTATTGTGATAATAATTACTTTTCCTAATAAGGAATGAAAAAAACGTATAATTAAAAAACTGAAACATCATTTAAATGCACAATTTTTACTAATTAGTGTAAACATAGGTAGTTACATTGAAAGATGCATGAGAATGATGTGGTTCTGAAAAAGGCTTATCAGTTGATTATTTTAATATTTGATTACTTCATAACTATTGTTTTTGCATCCAGCTTTTTTAAATTATTATTTATTAAATAATTTTGAATGTTGCTTACAGCTGGCCTGAATATTGATAATAATGTCTGGGTTATCAACTGGCAAAAAAAAAAAAGAAAATTCCCAGTGCTCCTTTATGGCCACTGACTAAACACTAGAATGCATTGGGTTATTTACTGCTAACTATCATTAATTTTGACCACCGTGTTTGCTTGAAATTTTTAAATTGTTACGTAAAGGAATTGGAACATGTTTGTTTTCATATGAAGTGATATAAACATTCATACTCATGAAACTGTTATAATGATAAGATTAAACATTAGGTGGCATAAACATTTACCTTAAAATTTATGTTTCTCTTTAGGTTGTAGCTAATCAGGGTGGCCAGGCTCTAAGCACGGCATCTGTCACAGTGACTTTGTCTGATGCTAATGACAATTCACCTGTTTTTGAAAATGATCAATACTTATTTCAAGTTCCAGAAAATGCTTCACCAGAAACAGGGATCTTTACTTTGCAGGTGAGTAAAACTTTCATATTATGTTTCTTTGATCTGTATGTGCAGTATTAAAAGTGGACTAAGTTATTGATAACACTTGACAGATACTGTTGTGGAAGATGCTGACTTTATTTGAACAAGCAGGAACAAGTGAAATAGTCAAGCTCTTTGATAATAAATATTCTTTAATAAAGTATTATTAAAAATTTTTGAATAGAAATATGCAACTATTGGCTTTGAAAAGTAAGTAAAATAAGTTTTTGTTTCATATTATTTCAAGAAAAAGTAAAGTGCAATATGGTTGTTTCAACATCTAATGTGTGAGATACTATCAGTGGATTGTTGATAAAGGTACATTCTTTTCATTTTGGATGAAATACTTGGCACTAGAGCTGGATGATTATCTTAATGAACCGATATAAGTGATTTCCTCTGAGCATTGATTATGTCAATTAGTGTCACTTAAAATAATAACCAGGACACACAGTTTCTTATATTCAGAGAGGTAGTCTTACATGCAGTTTGATGTATTTTGTCCTGTTGGCTCTGAGGTTGAGTTGGTGGGAGATCAAGGGCAGACAAATGAGAATTTTGACTCTATTTTTCCAGCACCTTCCTTTGCTCAGACAGTTACTCCTTAACTTCGGATGAACATTTTACACCCTGCATTTTTTTACAACTAGTACCCCCATCTTTGTAATGTTTTGAGTATTTCTCCTATGGCTTATGAATCTTCACCTTCTTTATTTGGAAAAACTATTTTGTCTGATTACCTGGTCCTTCCACCTTTGCCAGATATTACTTTGCATGCAAGGAGATTTGCAGATCAATTGAGGAAGGGTGCTGCCATGCCTTGTCCTCCTCGTTTATTGGATCAGCATGCCTTGGATATCGATCATCTGGAAAACCCTTATTTGGACTCTCAGAAGTTAGACCCTCTCCTTCCTGTTTGGGGCTGTAGACCAGATGCCACTGTTCATCTTAATCAATCTCAGTTGGTTTGTTGTTGGGATCTTTTGGAGAGAAAGAGTCCTTATTGGAGGGAGTTTGCCTTCCTATGTCAGCCCTTAGAGATCATCAGAGAAGCTCCTTTTCTTAGACAGTCTATTTTTGCAGGAATTCCAGACACCGTGAAGTTTAGAGTAGATGTAGCCTGTCTACATTCTTCACTGGCTTCTTGACTGTCCCAAAGTTCTTCTACAGGACAGTTTACTGCATCTCCTGTTTGAGTTTCCAGACCTCCTGCTTTGGCACCATGATCCATTGGAACACAAGGGTGATTTAGTCCTTACCAATGAAAATCCTACTCCAGGGTGGAGTGTAGATTTTTGCATCAGTGACTACCTTATGGGATCAAGCCCTGTGGGGTCTTGTGTCGGTATGAGAGACATTCACCACAGATCAGTGGGTCATTCAAGTTCTTAGGAGTGGATTGGTCCTTCAGTTCACAACTTCTCCTCCTCTGTCTCTCATAACAGTTGGTTTCTACTTCCCAAGGATACTCTTACTTCCAACCATCAAGCACAAGCCATCCAGGATCTTCTGCACAAAGAGGACATAGAGTGCATCACCTCCTCTCTCTCGAGGGTTTTCATTCTCTGCTGTTTCTAGTACCAAAATGGGCAGTTGGCTTCTGGTCTCCATTGCTTTCTCCATCCTCCTCAGTTTACAATGGAGTCATTTCTTTCCTTTGGTGGCTCTTTTCACCCGGACCATGGATGACAAAATTTGACGTCACAGTTGTCCATCTTCATAACCCAATCACCGAGTCTTCAAGACATTATCTCTGTTTTGTGCATGACAATCAGGTTTTCAGTTTCATGCTCTATCATTTGGCTTTGCATCTGCTCCATGCATTTCAGGAGTGTTTTTCACTTCCAGACTAAGCTTGGGCCAATCTTCTCCTGTATGTCTTCAGGCCATGGAATGGGTGATTCTTGAAATCCAGTTCTCTCTTCCTTTACCAGCACTCACAGTTCTATCTATTTTGGGGATGCGGAGATAATTGTACAGGCTAGTATGCAGACCCTACCTTATCCTTTATATCGCACTATTTACAAGATTTAGCAGTATCCTCCTTGGATCATTTTCAACTCCCCCTGGCTATTCTACATTTCTACATGCTCCAGCTCGATTGTGACAGTGATGAGTAACTTCATTTCTTTTCAGGGACCTTCTTGTCATTCTTATTTAGATCCCACTCAGTAGCAAGTGGTGCCTGATCAGATATGCCTAGGAGCTTTCCAGGTAGTGAACAATTGTTTTATGTCAAATATAATATACGATATTGGACCGCCCCTCATGGACTATCATGAGTAAAGCATAAAGAGATTTTGCCCATCCTTGCTAACCCCTGAATTAAACAAATTGGGGTTGGCTTGCTTTTCAAAATTGGAAACGTGGTTCACTTATTGCACTATCTCTAGAGCATTGTTCCTCAGGACTCCCCAACACAAGTCACCCCTCCCCCTCTCTTCTAGTGGAGCAAGAGAATCCTTAACACTCTCAGTTTCCAGTCACTGGAGTGGTGGACAGAGGCCTGTTCCTCCTGAGTGATGTTTGTACTCTTTATTCCACTCAAGGAGAAGAGGGCAAAGCTGGATACCCTCCCACTCTTAACCCCTGGATGTTTTTCCCAGATGTTGGGTGGGAAGCCAGTCCAGCCTACGCGGGATCCTCCTCGTAATTCTGGTTCAGAGATGACACTTTGCTGTTTGATTGTGTGAATGTGGCCCTTCTTTTTGGTCATTCATTTACTTTCCATGATCATGGAAGAGGGTCCTCGACTCCTCGTAATTCTACAAGCAGAGTATCACATCTGTGAACCATTGGTTGAACTATGTTTGTTCCACATCCTCCTTGTAATTCAGGGGGCTAGAGGTGTTTTCCCTTGCCTCCCAGTTTGAGGAATTGGGATTTCAGTTCATAATCCCAGGCTGGATGATCTCTGTTTCTTCAGGTTGAGTGATGTGTGAATTGACTCTGTAATTCCGAGTTCAGTTTGTTGCATTCTGAGCTTCTTCAGACTGGAGGGAAGACTTGTCCTGTTGGATGTTGCTTGCCTTCTTTTCCTAATTCCAATGGCTCACGTGCAATATTCTATAACTTTCAGAATTGTTGCCTGGGCCCATAATTATGAGCTTGTTTTTTTGCCTTTTGTGCTTCTTCAGGTTGGAGTGATGGTTTGCCCACTAAGGTGTTGCTTGCCTTCTCTTCATAATTCCTATGGCTCAACATGTAATATCCTGTAACGTTCTGGTTGGGTTCCCTTCATAACATATTCCTATTATACAGTTATATCATATTATGCTTCCCATGCCCTAGCCACTCCACCTTGGATCTAACTTTACATCTACAGCCCTATAATTTTAACAATGAGACGTGGAACTTTATCTGTGTGGTTTAGGCCTGAACGATTCTCATGATAATGAACAATGTTGACTCTGTAGCCAGTTGGCATTTACTGCCCACATTTAGATTTCACTTTATCTGGGCAAAGAGCATATCTGTTCATATCGACAGTTTCTTCCAGCCTTTACTGTAAAATGTAAAAGTATGAAACATTTTAATTTGTTTTTCTAAACTTCTGTACATATTAACAACTTTTTTTCTTAAAACTTTGATATTTTTTCTACTTTTAAAGTTGTTAATTATTTTGTAAGTTTTTCACACTGGTGGTAGAATTAGAAGACAAGAAATTGGAAATTTCTGTAATTAAAGATTTATAACTGTGGTTTTAATATTTCTTATAATACTTCAGTTTCCACCTTAAGAACCATTTTAATCTTTGCAAAGATATCATCTAGTATAATACAAGTTTTTTTGATATATAGTAATTGTTGTACTATTATTGCTTTTTAGGACTGTAGTTATCAAACACTGCAACAATTAAAAAATTATAAAACAAGCTGAAAATAGGAAAATCAGTCTCATGTGATAATAATCAATTAGTTGAATATAATCAGTTAAGAAGCCAGATGTTTAATCAGCTAGCAAATTCCACTGATTGCCCAGATCTACTTAGCACCTCCCATATGATTAATTTTTATTTTGTTCATATGCTGTGAATAGGTTTTAAGAATTATGATGATAACAGTAAAATATTTTTATTTGAGTCATTAGGATTCTAAGTAATCTGGCAGCACAGTATTATGCAGCTTATCAGGAATATTTAACATGTAGTTTATAAATTAATTTACTTTCTTAACTTCAGGTTACCATTTTACTTATCTAACACTAAAGTTTTGGCTTCTAGTTTCTTCAGAACTTACCATTTAATATAATCCATATCTGTTCACCTTCAAGATCACAGCCAAATTTTTCTAGATTTACAATGTTTCTTGTCAGTCTAGACATAGACAGCTAAATTTATTGGTATTTACAATACTTCTTGTCAGTCTAGACATAGACAGCTAAATTTATCGGTATTTACAATACTTTCTGTCAGTCTAGGCTTAGACAGCTAGACATCTTATTATAATTCCTGATTTAACTTTGGCTATCTTAAACACTGTTGATTTTTCTTGCAAAACTAATCAGTTGTTCGATTTTAAAAGACAACCATGACTACACTTTGAAGAAGTCTATTATAACAAATAATCTCTATAATGCAATACTTAATCTTGTTATTAACAACTAAATAAGGATTGATTGTGACCTTTTCAATACATTCATAGTACGGATGGGGACAAATATCAAATTAGATATTAATTTTACAATGAACCAGATGATAAGTGACCATTTTTATCAACAGATTATCTCAATACAATGCAGGCATGATATCACTTGCATGTGCATTACAAATAATAAGTGTTGCATCATCTAGCCCTCTGGTGCTTTCCACTAGTTTCCAAAAGTAATACCATTTTTACTGGTTTTAAAGGACTGGAAGCCCTGGTTGTGATAATACACACTGTTATTATGTAAACATCATGCCCACCCATTATGTTGCTATTGTATGCCTCAGGTGGTAATTACAGTAGCAGTAGTTACAGCAATGGCAAGCACAATCCAAACAACAGTCTCCTTGGGGGACCAGAGGAGTAAAGCTCTTTCTCACACCACCACTTGCTACAATCCATTAAAAGGCTTGCAGTGTTCACTCACTCATATATAACTACACATCCTTATTAAATTTCAAAAAACAATGACAAAGTACCATATTGCCCCTAATTAATGCCCCCAGGGGCATTTGAAATGGCAAAGGGGGGTGCTAATTATAGTATTTGTGCAGTTATGGATTTGTTTTTTCACATGTGATTTATTGATTTCACTGCTAATAAGTGTGTGGGCTTGTTTTTTTTCCTTTTTTTTAAATCAAAATTGTGGTAATAAAGTGGAATATATGTAGGATTGTTATTGCTGTCACACAAGATAAGCTGTTTAAAAATACTGGGACGATAATTAGAGAGGAGGGCATTAATTGGGAACAGTACGGTAACTAGTTTAATACTATACTGTAATGAAGTGATATTTCATGCCTGTGGTGCATTTTAAGTATCTGTGGCCACATCTGTTATTCGATTCACAAATATCCTAGTTTTATTTGATATCACTAAATATATATTCAAAATTCAATATCCTACCAAAACTACTGTTTGTCTCATCTCTGATTTATAGGTACCCACCATTTCTTTGTGTAATTAAGAGTTTTAAGGTAAGGTATATTGAGGTTCACTTTTGTATTAATTTTTGTTTTACTTCTAGGCCTATGATTCAGACAGTGGAAGTTTCGGAGAACTTAATTATACTCTGAAAGGATTTGGATCAAACAAGTAAGTAAATAATAATTTCAAGTAGAACAAAACTAGAAATGTTACTTCAGTTAGGAGAAGGGGATATTATAACACATCATTTCCATAAACCAAATATATTTGTAGAGGTTTCATGATGAATAAAATGTTATTGTTGCACAAGTCACTATTAAAGGATAATGTGATTTATTTCATTGACTATTATTCAGTGCCCTGTAGAGACTTTTCAAAAATATTTATACTCAAGGTAGGTCTGTGAATTGACAATGTCAGTCTGACTCAGGTTCTTGACAAGTAAGAGTGCAAGGTGATATTTATTTGAAGAAATAAATACTCTTGTTTGTTGTACAGTTTGCATATTGCATTTGCATAACCTGTAGGACCTCCAAAATCCATATCCAAGGCTTTTTTTTTAGTAACCCTGTACATTGTATCTGATATTTACTTTCCCACGTCACAAACTGTGGCTAAATCAACAATGTTGGGCAAAATGAATAGTTAATAATTTTGACATAAAATATGCAACACTCTGTAACAGGTCATGGCATTGCACTTTGAACCCCCCCCCCCCATATGCAATGTATAATTTTTGAAAATTAAGTTAAGGTTGAATCCTGTATAATTTTCCTTCATAGTTGCCTTAGCATGACTAGAATTATTTGTGAGATTAATTTTTATTTCAAGAAAGTCTTCCAGTCATGAATTAAAAAAAAAAAAGAGATTGTATTTTTATAAGAAAATTCCTTAAAAACAATTAATACTGACATAAAAGGTATTGGGTGTATTGGGAACTTACTAAAAATTTTGGCTTTTTGTTTTCCTTTAGCAATAATAGATACAAAATTTTAGAACAAACTATTTGTCTGTCTGTTGTGTATGTTTTTTTTTTATTTCCATGTGTTTTACAGATTCTTAGTAGATCAGTTCACAGGCAAGATAATGATAGCTCCTTGTGACCAGGAAAGCTGTTTGGATTATGAAACTCAGCCAAGTTATTCCTTGACATTTGAGGCTGAAGACGGTGGCGGCAAAGTATCCTCAGTCAATTTGTTTATTGAAGTTATTGATGTAAATGATAACCTCCCTGAGTTTACACAGAAGGAATACTCTAGAGAAATTCAAGAAAATTCACTCGAAATTTCACCACCACTTGTAATAAAGGTAAATATACTGTCTACAAATATAATATATGGTACAAAAAATGTTTAGTTAAAACAAGATATAAATTGAAAATGACATTATATTAGCACATCATATCATTCATCCACAGATATATAACACTATAAATGGAAATGCTTGTTACTCCCTTTTATGCTATGAAGAGTAATGGTTCACTGTTAGTAGGACAAGTGTGCATTATCAGTTTGCTGATAAAGGGTGCATTAAGCTTTGCCTTGGTTCTGTTCTTTTCTTTGAAAATGAAAATGTTTCTAGATCTAGAATAAAATCACATAAGTTCATTTCATGAAGTCTGAAGAAAGGTACAAGGAATTGAGGAACTAGAAGTTTTGTGTTTCAAGAAATCTAGGCACCTGAAAAGGTAGAAGATAATGATATGAATCACCAAAAACTATGAAGTATTCTTCACAGCATTCTCTAATTTTCTATGTATTATTTTGTTCTTCTGAATTCATTTTTTTTATTTCTGTGAACTGTGCTATTGAAAGTGGTTTATAGAACAGGGAACAACTCAGAATGGGCAAGAAAATAGATTCATTACCAAAGACTTTCTGATACTTGCTTATTAATTTGGTATTATGCCTCCTCCTGAGTTACTTTGATAGTTATAGCTGAACATCACTCAGAAGGTGATTTAATTCTTAGAGGTGACAGGAAAAATACAGTATTACAGTCTGCTTTTGAAGACTAGTGCCATCCAGGGCTGTCTTCATGGCTCTGGAGGTACCTGGGCACAGTGTAAATTGGGGCCTCTACCATATTACAGTAAGAAATAAATAATAATTGCATTAGAGAAAATGCATTAACTTTGAAATAATTGACTTGTATCATATATATTAAGCACATACATTAAATTTATCAGGAAAAAAGTTTTTACACAGTATTTCTGGGGTCCACTTTCAACTAGGGCCTTGGGCATGTGCCCAGTTTGCCCATGGCTTGAGACATTAGTGGTGCACTAGATCCTTATCTTCAGTTTTCTGCACTTTAATAATTCATATTTTATACAATAAAACTTTTTAGAATAAACCTAGTTCTAGAGAGTTTTTGTTGTGAAATTGCAAGTCTACAAGTTTCAATACTCTTTGTGTGCTAGAAATGTATATTTATTTTTTTGTTATTATATACTTGGATATTAACTAAAATTTTAGTTTGATTATCTAGTATTTATAGATAAGTAAAAGTAAATCTTCTCTTTTTTTTATTTTTGAAATCATTATATGCACATTATTACTACTTAAAATGATTATTTGAGATATTTGCAGTACTAACAACTTAATAATGTCTGTATTGCTTACATAATGTCCTTTCATTCTCCACATTACTTATTTGTAGACTCTGACAAAGTATTTAAAAAAAATGCAACTATTGTGAATTTGTTTTTTACTTGAGAATACTGGACAGCAAAAACCATTAAAACAGACCATAAGAAGGTAGTGTAAATACTGAATAAAAGAAAACTAAAAAAATTATTAGGATGTACAAACAAGACAATTGAGTTCATGGCATGTGTAAAATATAATGCTTCTTGGAGACTTAAAAAAATGTATTTGATATTTCATCAATTTGAGGACTGCAAAGTGTAATACGAGAATATGAGGTTACAGGCTTTAAGATTCTTTATAGTGTACTTGAATACATAGCGCTGGTGCATAGCTACATAATATGAAAAATGAATCTCAAATATAGTTCTTTCATACATTTAAATGGCTTTAGAAGCTTAATATTTTCCTCATAAAATTGCAAATGATAAGAAAAAAAGCTTCAAACAAGTTATTCATTATACTGTAAATGTAACATGAAAATTAAGCAATCATGTGTTTATTATTCAATATTCAAAGCAACAAGGTGATGCAAAAGTTTAAGACTTTTTGTATTTTGCTTAGAACATATTTAATGAGCAAATGGCAAAGAGATATCTTAATGTATTTGCTTCACAATAGATTTTGGGTACATGCATGTAGAAGTCACAAAAGTGTTAGAACCTTTTGAACTTTTGACAGAATTTCAATGTTTTCAAGTATCTATTTCAAAGTGAACAACTGTTATTTTCAGATATATTTATATAATTTGATACATATTTTGTACTGTACACCGAATGGTCACAAGTAAATAGACACCTAATTTTTCGTCATTTAACTGATTTATGCTAACTAATTTGTGTTCACAGAGCACTATATAAATGAAAATGGTACACACACTAATTATCTTTTGCTACAACATGCCTAGAACTCAAGGTTCTCTTGAATTGTCAGATTTTGTTAGAGGAAGGACAGTTGGTCAAGCAGATGGTGGAATAAGTCAGTGGCAAATTTTGCAGAGTTTGGGAATCCTGCTTTCGACAGTCAACAGAATCATCGTGCAGTTCAGGAAACATGGCAAGGAAACAACTGAGCACGTCCAGGTCGT